GAACATCCCGAAAAAGATGGCTACATATGGGAGTAAGTCGCGCGAAACTTTTAAAATAACCCAGTATTCATCTATATTACCATTCTTAAGCGCATTTAATTCAAAGCAACCATTTCTAACTCTATAATTTGATAAGCGAGAATCATAGCCTGTGGCAATGATGGAATTATCGAAATTTTATTGCTCACCACTGAGTGGAATAAGAAGCGACTTATGGCGTCAAAAGCAGTTTTGCAAACGAATAAATTTGTATTAGTGTTTTGAACTTCAGAAAACGACAATCTCGAATCACGTCTGGCTACACAACGACAGCTCTACGTTTCAAATGAAGAAACAATGCGGGCAAAAGATCTAGAACATCGTAATTTGAAAGCGAAAATCATGAGCGCTGAACTGCACATTCGCGAGAAGGATAGCAAAATCAACCAGTTGATGGTAATCACAACAATAGTTTAGCTTTTCGCTCATACCCTCTTATTAAACTTTAGAGTCAATTAGAAGCCCTACGACTCGAACATTCACAAGTGAGTGCGGAGCGACAAAGGTTGAGCAACATCGCGAAAGACGTTGAACATGACATGAAAGCTTACGAGAGTGACAGCAAGAAACTACTGCAAGAACGTGAACAACTGATCAAGCGACTAACAGAAGTGGAGAGCGAAAATAAGGTTTGTTAAGAAGATTGTTATGGATTTCAACCTAAGAAGTTAGTATGAGCTGCAAAGATTACAATTTCATACAGCTTACCCCTTAAAAATATTCATTTTGAACAACAGTATGCAGAATCGCACGATCATCGTCCTAGTATGTCTTGGGTTCATTTTAAACTATTAGTAAAAGCAATTTCGAATCAGGCCAGACAAAAACCCCTTCCATTCTTTTGAATACTTCTGTGTTACCATAACCTAGCTTGCCTCAAAAATTACTACACTTCCCTTCCTCCTTCCTCTCCCTTCCCTTTTTCCCCGTTATTCGCATTGTAGATGCAGTGACCTTATCAATGCTCTTGCGCCCATATGTGGCTTCTCCC